GGTCTGAACTCTGGGCCTGGGCGCTGTCCCTCAGCTCTTCAGCTCAAGGCTAGCGCTCTGCCACTTGAGCCTCAGCTCCACTTTCGGCTTTTTTCTTTTTGCTTATGTGATGCTCAGGAATCGAACCCAGGGCCTCAGGCATGCAAGGCAAGCACTCTACCACTGAGCCACCTTCCCAGCCATAAAAGTCAAATCTTTAACTTATCTCTGTGGAATTTGGATAGCTATGGTTAGAAGAGGGGCACCATACATGATGAAATCTTGCCAGGTTGAAGACAATGACCATAAGTCAAGCAACCAATATTTTGTACAAGTAGAAAGCTAGAAACAATTTCTTAGTATTTGGTTATTTCACTTTGAAGAATAAGAAGAAAAATGTTTAAAGAAATATCTCTGGGTTCTGGCATTACATCATACTAATTGTCCCTAAAATGAAAAATTAACACAAGTAATTCATTCCTGGAGCCTCTAAATTCAATCAGCAATATGTTCATCATTCAGATCTAGCTCAATGATATGCTTCAGCAAAAGGGAAAGAGATACATTAAAAGACCAAATGGATCCAAGATAGGATTACACATACTGAAACCAGAAGAGATATAGGAAATCATCTAACCACACATTGGCAACAAAAAGGCTGTATCTGGTCTCTAGGTGTGTTTTACTTGATCTGCTCAGTGTTAACATGTTTATTTAAGAAAATTTGAATAGGGCAACCTTTTTAAAGCTAGAAGATTTCACATTTTAAAAAATCTGAATTTCAGAGTTAAAGATCCAAGTCTTGGCAACACTATGCTCTCATTCTAATACAACCATTAACTAGAACTGAATCAGTTTCACCCTTATTAGATGGGCATAATGTTTCCAGTTCTTCTATTCCCTAATGCCTCCCTAACACAGGACCAAGTCTGACTTGTAGTTAAAGTTTCTCTGGGTTTCCTCCCACTGCCTCTCCCCCATAATTTTGGCTTCTACGCTCATTTATGATACCTCACTCACCTGAGTGAACCTTGTGAACTTGTCATCCATTAATCTTATTCAACCACTCAGTTAACACATGAGAAAACTCAGCTTTCAAGATGCCATGCTAAGGGAGAGAGCAGTATTTAGATCCCTCAGTTAACAATCCATTAAATAGTCATCTAAGTCCGGCTCTCGGATGAGAAAACAGCAGGATATGTTTATTATTCAGAGTCAGAAAATTAGGAAAAGTTTAGAGTCTCAAGAGAATTCAATACAAGCAAAATGAGGGCCGGATGCATAGGTACACGTTTAGCATCTCGTCTCTCTAGGCCCAAGCTTGTCCTGCTCATGGTGCTACCAGACTCCTCCTGTAGTTTATCTTCATTCCACACAACCCTACCCAATGCTTGGTCCCAGGAGATGTTCTGATAGAAATATACACACGCATATATATATATATATATATATATATATATATATACACACACACACACACACACACACATCTATATGATACTAAAGACACAGAAGTATTCTTTTAGCTTTGTATATGTTTTACGCAATTTGCATATAATTATGCATGTCCAATCTGTTGCTTGAATACATTCTTTAGCAAGACATTCAGACATATAGAGCTGTATGTGTGACGATAAAACACAAAAATATCTGCTACATTTGGAGATACAACTGGGAATAATGAAATATTAGAATGTGAAATTGGAAATTTCACTGGTTTGCTCTTCATATTTAAAGCTAATGTTTTTCTCATCCCAAGTCCTGTCTCTTCTTAAAGAGCTTAAGAGTCTATTTTGAGTGGATCAAATACAAATTCATATCATAGTTTTTGTTTGTTTGTTTGGGTGATATTGGTTTGGGTGAGGCACAAAGGGTCCAGAATGGCCTTGAACTTATAATTATCCTACCTCAGCTTCTCAAATACTGTTTTTACTGACATGTGCTATCCTACCTTCTCTATGTAATAATTTTAAGATGCATGAAGACTTTGAAATATGCCTTAACATTGACGGTATAGAGTGAAAACAATCCAAATTGTGAGAATGATGATAAAAAGAAAGAAAATATGCCTCCTGCAGGTACCAGACTGAATTTTTAACTTACACTAAATAGTTATTATGCGGTGCCTGATACTGGTGGCTCACACTTTCAATTCTACTTACTTAGGAGGCTGAAATCTGAGGTTCATGATTCAAAGCCAGTCCATTCAGTAAAGCCAATAAGACAGGTTTTTATCTCCAATTAACTAGCAAAAAACTAAGTGTAAAACAAGTGCCTTGAGTGGTGAAACACCAGCCTTGAGCAAAAAAGCTAAAGTCTACAAGCCAGTCCCTCAGTTTAAGTTCCACTATCAGCACATAAGAATAGTTATGTGTGACGCCTTATTATGTAACAGCACAATAGTTCAAAGGACAAGCTCTGGAGATTAATTGGGTTCAAACCCTGGCTCTATTTATTTGAGCAAACTTACCAGATTTCTCAGTCTAAAATTAAAATGGTGTGTCTTATGATAATAAAAAAATATAGGGCTACCTTGACATGCATGTCTAATAACTGTTACTCCTGTTACTAACAATTAAAACATAGAACAGAAAGTGGCCCAGGAAAGTGTCAATGGTTCCCCATCCAAGATCTGATCAACCTGGAAGTTATCCAATCATAAACTGCAGATTTGAAGGAAAAACAGAGCTGAATTTGAATAAAGCAATGAAAAGTATTCTAAACATGCTACTCTTTTAATAGCAACATTTATGGAAGACAAAATCGGGGAGATTTTAATCACTTATTTTAAGAAGAAATTCACAAAACTAACTTTCAAGGCAAGCAAGTTAGTTAACCCTGTTGCAATTGTCAGCAAAGATATAATACTGATACTCAATTTAACTTCTGAACATAGGATACTTGTCATTTTTCCCACAATCTAGCCCCATTCCCACCTCCCAGTCTTACCGATTTTAAATTCCAGGTTCTGCTTCCTTTGTGTACAACAGCCTTCCACACTTGTGCTATGCTACTTCCCCTCTGTCAGGGAAATCCCCTCCCTCTTCAAGTCCTAGCTGAAATGCTGCGCCTGCCACAAAACTTTTCTGCTTATAACCTCCAGTGAACCTCTCCTTTTCTTTGTCCTTCAATAGCACACAACTGATGCTGTCATGTGACTTCATTTGTGCTAGTTTGTATTATAGATATTTGTAAACACGCCCGTCTTCCTCACTAGACTAAACTCTTTAAGGAAGGAACCAGGCCTTGTTTTTCCTTGAATTCAACTTTAAGTTATAGTTCAATCCCTTTTTCCACAGAGAATGTATTTATGTCTACAAAGAGGCTCCCAAAGAAAACATCAGGGAGCTCACAATGCACGCATTTTTATATTTATTTTTGCACACTTTAGTTATAATCTAAATCAGTAGGAGATACTTCCCTAGAAAATATTTTTCTCTGAAGCAAGCTACTTTAGTTCACCTTCCCCTATACTCAACTGTATTCTATGAATAAACTCCAAAATCCTCTCATAAGAAAGACTATGGATTTTTTTTCAGAGTTTAAAAGATAAGGGTGAGGAATTAAAACTTGTAAATCTCACCATTTCTAATGTTTGTCTAGCTCCAGTTTCATGACCAGATCCATCTCCCAAACATTATGTTCTGTTCCACTAAGCATGCAGATAACAACCAATGCATAAACACTATTGTCATTGATGTCTCAAATCCAGAAGCTAGTAAAGACTTCCTAATGCCCTGATCTACCCACCACCCCTTTTCCCTTCCTGATACTTGTCCTTTAGACATAAAGAGCCCCAGAGAAGGAACCAAGAAACCTCTTCTTAGGCCATCAGTGGTGCTGAAAGGATGAATTGTGGGTTAAGCAATTTTATTATCTATCTTCTATTTCCAAGAACTTTCTTTTGGGGGGGGGGGGTTGTTTCTGGTAGTGAAATGAGCACCAAACCTGTTATCTGCAATATTGCGTATTGTTTAATCTGTAATTCTGTAATGAATGATCAGTCCTTTCACTTCTTAACTTCTCCAGCTTTATTATCAGCTGGCAGAATCTTTGAGTGCAAGAATCCATTTTTTTTTATTTAAACGTTTATCCAGATCATCGAGATTTAAAAATAAATATTGCTAAACTGTAGTTCAGGAAATTGACTCAAAAAAGCTATACCGAATAACTTACTAGGTAAGTTAATATATGTAGTGTAAATGCTGCCTAACCTTTTGGAGTAGTTGGTGCTGGCATCCCTCGAATGAAGGCAAAGCACTGATTTGCTTTTGAATGGCCAGATTTAAAAACGGTAAGTAGTTCTCACAAAGCCTGTGGGAGCTACTGAGGACAGGAAAAGTTACCAGGGCGAGCATAGTAAGCACCAAGTGCTCCCGAGTTCTACTCCTGCCTACATCCCATGCTGACCTGGCTGAACCTGGTACTGCAGGGCACACAGGCCCGCCTCTACCCCACCCCCACACCCCCACGTGCTGTTTTCCTAGCAGCCCAGGAGTACCAGGGGCGCCCAACCCCGACTCTTCCCTGGGCACCCGCGCGCACCTGATCTTAATCTGGGGAGCTGGAGGCCTAGGGGACCTTCGAAAAATAGGGTCCCAGCTGGGTGGCACAAATGTCTTTGTTCTGCCACCAGCAACCTCAGAAACTCTTGGGGGCGTCCCGGGACAGGACTCCGCCCTGACCCCCATACTATCTTCCCCTCAAGATCACCTGTCTTTTTCTCTAACAGTCCATTCACAAGGCAGCTCCCAGATCTCTGGGGCATTTTGCCCACCGCGGAGAAGCACCCTTATTTAAAAGCACAGAGTGCCAACGGGGTGAACGCAAGTGCGAGGCGGACACTCTCAGCCCCAGATCAAGAACCTGGCTGCAGGCTGCCCGGCCCACGGGCCACGGCGTCGCCACCACCTCGGGGCTCGGTCCAGAGTCGGAGGAGTTACTTGTCGTCTCCGGGAAGTCGCACCCACCGGGGCGATCGCCGGCGCTGGGGACCCTCCCCACGAGCCGCAGCCTTTTACCTGAGTCCCGGCCTCGGCGGGGGCTCCGGGGCGCAGCACGGAGCGCAGTGCCCCGGGCAGGCCGGGCGGATGGGGCGGTGGACACCGGTGGACACCGGCGGACGCCGCTGTCCTCGCAGCTCCGGGGCCGGGCAGCTATTTATCCCGGGACCCGGCCCCCGGCGCGGTATTGGGCGGTCGGTCCCGTTACGCGGGGCTCCGGGGGCCGCCGCCCTCCGTGCCCGCGGCGCCCCGCCGCGGCGGTGGCCGCGTGGAGCTGCTGCCGAGACCTGCCTCTTCCAGGGGCGCCCCCCTCCTCCCGCTCCCTGGGAAGTTAGCCCCTACCCCCCCACGCCACACTCCCCTCTGGGCTCTGTTCTTTACAGGGCACCCTGGCCAGTCTGAACCGGTTATGACTGAGCGCAGGCTGCAGGGGGAAAGAGGAGGAGGAGGAGGTGCAAGAGATGGAGCCGGAAAAGCGGGCGGTAGGGGCGCTGCGCCTGCTCTCGTGGCTCCCAACTGGGCCAAGAAGGAGGGAGGGCATGGCCCGGCCCCAGCCCGGCCCCGCCGGGAGTCACCCAGGCCGCGGGAGAGGTGGACAGGGCGGGGCAGGCGTCGGTCCGGGCCTGGCGCGCGCGTCTCCGCCGCAGGTCGCCCGCCGCCCACCTCGCGCCCGGGCCGGGCCCGCCCTTCACCCCGAGCGACTGCGGACAGCTGGGATCTGGGAATGAATGCCAGCCGCGCGGGGGTCTCCCGGGTCTCCCTGGCTCCCAGGGCCACCAGGCTCGCTCCTGGCCGGAGTTGTCTACTCTGCTGGCAGGGATCCCGGGGCACCAGGCATCAGAACTTTGAGAAGTCGGGGCTCCTGGGCAGTGGGGAGTAAAGATGCCAAGTGCTGTTCTTTGTGACCGCTGCGGGGCAAAGGAGGGCGCCCCGCAGTGCACACTGCACGCTGAGATGGAGGGGGAGGGGACGAGGACGTGGGGAGGGGGGGGAAGGGATGGTAGGAGGACAGGGAGAGGGAGGGGGAAAGAGAGGGAGGGAGCGGAGAGGGGTCAGGGGGAGGGAGAGGAAGAGGGGGGGAAGAGACAGGGAGGACCTGAGGACGCACTGTCTGTCCGGCAGCTGACCTTACTGACAATACTATCTTTGGCTTGAAGGTAAGGGGCACAGGAGCCAGCATGGCTGAGTGCTGTGTTCCCCACTGAGTCACTGCAGCCCACTGGGAACAGCACCTAAGTAACAGTGGCTAAGGAGGAGTGAAACACCCTCCCCCCACCACCACCTTTCCAGTATTGCTGATCTCGTTTTCCTCTTACTCTACCTCTCTTCCCACCTCTTTGTGGTGTACACTCAGATTTCTGGGAAGTCACATTGTGCTCTACGGGATTCTGAGAGAGGACCCACCACCTTGGTGAAAAATCCCTGTATACAGGGAAAGACAGTACCCTAGACCAGGTGGAGCTCTTACTAGGAGATCATTTCCAAAGGCCAGAGTCAGCCACCTAATCCCTTTGAGCCTGTTTCCTCACCTATTACATCAGAATGAGATTCTGAGGCTTGCCTGCATGTGGAATCTATGTGAGATGAGAAATAATGATAATAAGACAAAAAAAAATCCCTGTGGACCTGGCCACAGCTGTCATGTTCTTTACAGTGCAGCCATGGTGAGATTCATCCTGTCTGCCTCTCCCATTTCCTATTATTCCATTTACTGGATTCTAGATTAAAGGGAAGAGAAGAGTCAATAGTATTGTGTAAAAGAACAGAAAATTATTTAAACACACACACAGTAAGAATGGAAGAGACATGGTCCCCAAAAAAGTAGTTTCTGGGAGGAAGAAAATGAGCAGAGGATGCTATGCACACCACAAAAACGTATTTCTTTCTTTTTCTTTTCTTTTTTCTTTTTTTTTGTTGTTGTTGTTGGTCATGGGTCTTGAACTCTGGGCCTGAGCACTGTCCCTGAGCATTTCACCTCCAAGGTGGGCATTCTACCACTTAAGCCACAGTCTCACTTCCGGTTTTTTTGGCAGTCTCCTGGACTTTCCTGCCTGGGGTAGCTTTGAAGCGTGATCCTCAGATCTCAGCTGTCTGAGTACTAGGATTACCGGCATGAGCCAACAGCACCCAGCTAAAAACTTATTTCTAAAAAGGTAAAAGGACTCAGTAGGGACTGCTTATCTTGTACTCTATTTTTAACCTGGTTTGTGATTATTTAAATGTGTTTACTTTGTGATAATGCAGACTGATAAGTTGTATGTTTTTCTCTAGATGCTTTAATAAAAGATGTTCCAAAAAGCTTTTTATTTTATTCAAGTAAATCCTGACAAGAATAGTTCGCGCCAGCTGGGCTCTTGGTGGCTCACACCTGTTATCCTAGCTATTCAAGAAGCTGAGATCTGAGGATGGGGGTTCAAAGCCAGCCCAGGCAGGAACATGCATGAGACTCTTATCTCCAATTAACCACCAGAAAACCAGAAGTGATGTTGTGGCTTAAGTGGTAGGGCTCAAGGTGTTTGCCTTGAGCTAAAGAGTCTGGGACAATACCCAGGCCCAGAGTTCAAGACCCACAACTGACAAAAAAGAAAAGAAAAGAAAAAAAAAATAGTTCATGCCATCTCAATTGTGGGTCAACCCAAAAGATGTATATGACATTTTATTTCACAACAAGCAAACCCACTTGAAAAATACCATCTGTGTCAGTTAGTTGTTGAACTTGCAGTCTCCCTCTTCTGAGCTGTACCAAATTTCCCCAGATTTCTTTTACAGACATATTTAAAATAGTCAGTAGTCCCATTTCTACTCAGGCTTGTCCAAACCTGTCCACACAGAATGGAAAGTAAGCTTGTCCTCACCTAAGCTTTAGAGTGAGAGTGGATTCCAGCAGTAGAAATCCCCAACAATTAAGTTTGCTTCATGAATGGAGTGGCTGGAAAGCAGCCTGGAGAAGTTAGTATAGAACCAGGCTCTGGGTGGGGTGAGGACTGCCTGGCTTAAGGGATTGTTGCCACAGTGGAATGTGAAAAATGTCCCCATCCTCTAAGGTTCATTGTTCAATCACAGAGAAGCAAAGCCCTAAGACACTTGTGAGAGAAGCTAGACATTTAGTTCAACTCTAACACTGTACCTACAAAGAGAATTTGACCCCGAGAAGTTCAGAAAGGCCTTGCCAAGCTCTCTGGCAGGAAATGGCCAGTAGGTATGTGAAGAGAAGACTGAAATTTTCTCCTTATGTTCCCACATTTTCCTTCCCAGCAGCATGAAGATGCAAGACCTGCTGTTCTAGTGAGGGTCAGATAAGCTAACTACTGTTGGCAGTACTGCAGCTCTGTGCAAAATCTCCCTTTGGCTGTTTCTGGGCCCAGGTATCAATATATTTTCAACCAATGGATTAAGAGCAAAAGGCAAGTCATTAAATAAACTGAATTTAAATGAACCTGTCCAGGCAAGAAATGAAACCTGAAGCCAAGCTTCTAAAGAGGGATTGGTACAGAGGTGATATCCAGAACTAAGTGAAGGAGTTCATTCTTTGCTTTGTATTACTACGATTATGGAATATTTAGGAAGGAATTTGTCACTTATGAAGCATTCTGATATTTTCCCTTTCTGAGCTATTTGTTATCTCAGTCTTTGAGAGAATAAGATGGAGAAATTAACCTAAAAGTGTTCCATGATCCTTATTCCATAAACAAAGCAGTAGAGGGAACAGAGGAAGGGTGCCAGGGGTGAAGGGGCTGGGTAATACTCAGCACCTGAGTATCTGCTGACAAAGTTCTGTTCTTACTGACGGATTGCACAATAACACATGATCTGCCCTGTTTATAAAAGACAGCATAAACAGGCTCCAGCGGCTCACATCTGTAATCCTAGCTACTCAGGAGGCTGAGATCTGAAGATCAAAGTTCATATCCAGCAAGTCAGAACTGTCTGTGAGACTTATCTCCAATTAACCATCAAAAAGCCAGAAGTGGGTTTGTGGCTCAAATGGTAGAGTGCTAGCTATGAGCAAAAAAGCTAAAGGGACAACACCCCATCCCTAAGGTCAAGCCCCAGTACTGGCACACACACACACACACACACACACACACACACACACACGACAGCATAACTACAAATAAAAAGTAAGAAAGTAGAATCAAGAGTTTTATAGCAGTTCAGAGAATTATCATTTAATTCATTCCAATTCATTATTTCATATTCAAACAATGATCAGAGAATAATACATGTGGATAAATTATTCTCTCAGTAGAGGGAATAATTATAGAACTTTTTTTTTTTTTTTTTTTTAAAAAGGCAAGTTTTGGGCTGGGAAGGTGGCTCAGTGGTAGAGCGCTTGCCTTGCAAGCCTGAGGCCCTGGGTTCGATTCCTCAGCACCATATAAGCAAAAAGAAAAAAGCCAGAAGTGGCGCTGTGGCTCAAGTGGTAGAGCGCTAGCCTTGAGCTAAAGAGCTGAGGGACAGCGCCCAGGCCCAGAGTTCAGGCCCCACAACCAGACCCAAAAAAAAAAAAAAAAAAGGCAAGTTTTGAATGCTAAAAATGTGCTCTGTGATATTTTTACTGGCAATTTCCAGGAACATCATTTCAACCTTTGTTGCCTTTAGCTTTTCTCATATTACCTGATTCAAATGCTTATTATTATCATTATTATTATTTACTAAGTAGCAAAGGGGTTTCAATGACACCAATCAGGTTATGAGTATAATGCTTCTTGATCAGTGTCACCCATTTCAAATGCTTCTTAAGCCTTTAGGAGGGAAAGGAAGAAAAAGAAATGCCTTTCTCTGAAAGTCTGCTGATTATCAAGAAGTACAGTATCTCATTTACCTCTCAAAGCAATTTCTCATGCTTAACTATGTTATATCCACTTTACAGATAAAGAAACTAGGTTCAGAGAGGTTGTTCCTTGTGAAGTCACTCAACAAGTTATTGGTTGAGTAGGTCTGTGCTCTTTTCAGTCTTTCTCAGAAAAATGACTCAAGGTTTGTAGGCTAATCCTGCGCACCAACATCTCTAATGCATTAACTTATCTAAGGTTTCCCTAGAAACTTCAGGATTAAGTTTTGAAACTAAATGTGGTAATTCATATATGTAATCCCAGCTACTTAAGAGGTAGAGATAAAAAGATCATGGGCTGAGACACACTTAGGCAAAAACTTAGCAAGCAAGATAGTTATGGTAGCATAGTGGCAAACTTGTAATCCCAGATATTCTGGAGAAAAATAAAAGTCTGAGGCTAGCCTTAGGCAAAAAAAGTAAGACTTTATCTGAAAAATCATAACTAAAACAAAAAGGACTCAAATGGAAGTG